TCACTAGATGCGCATGAGACAACAGTCACATAACCACACCTGAGTCCCCATCTTCCAGCCCCTTGCCCTTCAACCCTCATCCACAGAACCTTTCCACTTGCTGGGCAGATAGATACCTGAGGCTCTTGGTCCAACAAGTCTTCCATCTTTCAAATTTCTCCAGAGGTCTGGGCTGCCGCCGTGGTCCTCAGAGTACAAAACAGGGAGAAGCACAGGGTTCCAGGCGTGCTCAGAGCCCCACCTGCAATTAGGTTACCTTTCCAGATGAGACTGTGCCCCTGATCCCCTCGTCCCTTAGCCACCAGAGGCCTAGCAGCTGCCTGCGGGTGCTCTGGGTTGGCAATTTCCAATTGGCATCAAAATGTGTGTGTGTGTGTGTGTGTGTGTGTGTGTGTGTGGTGGGGTCTGGGGGACGGGGGTGGGGGGGAGAAGGAAAGGGATAAGAGCCCAGGACCCCTGGAAGCTGAGGGTTAGTGGTGCAGGATGCTTGTGTCCACCAGGCACCAGGTCCTTCCAGGGACCTGGAAGGAAAGCAGGGGGCTCTTAAGGACAATTTAATTTAGGTATGAGAGGAAGACTTGACTGGACTGGCACATCAATCCTTTGGAACCTGACTGTCTGGGAGAAATGATTTAGTTCCATACGGACATTTGTGCTCCTCTCTGACGCTAGCAGGCTACTTAAACAAAGGATCCGAAGAAATTTCCTCCAAAACTTCCTGCTGGGAGAACAAAGCCCTGGAAGCAACAGAAGGAAGAACTTGTCCGCTGGAGAAAGATTTACAGTTTGACCGACTTGGAGCTGAGACCATGGTGGAGGCCCTTGTATCTCGGCTGGGCAGCTGACGAGGGCCCCCACATCCTGGCTGGACCGCTGCTCACTTGTGTATATCTCGTCTTCTGTTTAAACCTTACCCCTATGGTAAGGCACCAAAGATAGATTTAGGGAGGACTGGCCGCAGGATCTCTTTGTACTTCCCAATGTGGCTATACTGACTCCTTTAGATTGTCTTTTTGAGGATGGGTGACCGAACTTGGCTTGTTGAGGCACTAGCTGCAAAGTCATGTGTCGTTAATGCCTTTAAAATTAGGCATGGCAGAGAGGGAAACGGGGCAAAAGCCCACAGTGTCAGGGAACGCAAGCTTGAGCTTTGGCCAGTATCCAAAACAGAAGGGGGTAGGGTGAGAAAGGAGGCACAAAAGAGATAAAGAAAAGTGGGTAAGGGTATGTGCTGGATAGTTTTATGTCACCTTGTCTAAGGCTAAGTCTGAGAGGAGGGAACCTCAATTAAGAAAATGCCTCCATAAGATTGAGCTGTAGACAAGCTTGTAAGGCGTTTTATTTTTAAATTTAGTTGTTTTTTTTTCCTATGCATTGGTACTTTGCTATGGGTGTCAGGTCCCCTGGAACTGGAATCACAGTTGTGAGCTGCCATGTGGGTGCTAGGAATTGATCCTGGGTCCTCTGAAAGAACAATCAATGCTGTTAAATGCCAAATCATCTCTCCAGCCTTGTAAGGTATTTTCTTAATTAGTGATTGTTGGGGAAGATCCAGTCCATTGTTGGTGGTGCCATCCCTGGGCTGGTGGCTATGGATTCTATAAGAAAGCAGACTGAGGGGTCTGGAGAGATGGATCAGAGATTAAGAGCACTGCCTGCTCTTTCAAAGGTCCTGAATTCAATCCTGAGCAACCACAAGGTGGCTCACAACCATCTGTAATGAGATCTGGTGCCCTCTTCTGGCCTGCAGGCATACATGCAGACAGAACACTGTAGAATGAATGAATGAATGAAAATAATGAATGAATAAATAAATAGTAAAGCTATTAAAAAAAAAAGCAGACTGAGCTAGCCACCAGGAGCAAGCCAGTAAGCAGCACTCCTCCATGGCCTCTGATCAGCTCCTGCCTCCAGGTTCTGACTCTGTTTGAGTTCCTGCCATTACGTCCTTCAGTGACATAGAAATGTAAGTCAAGCAAATTCTTTCCTCTCCATCTTGCTTTTGGTCCTGGTGTTTCATGACAGCAATAGTAACCCTAACTGAGACAGTGCATACAATGTTTGATACTGATACATTTTCACGCGAGATTTCACAGCTTCCATTTCAAATGCCAATTCTAACAGTAGGTAAGTTTGTTAAGGTGTTAGACTTTGGGTTTGGTTGATGTATGATGAGTGGGGCTTTTCTTTACTTTTCTTCTTTTAAAGATGTACTTTATGTGTGTGTTTTGTCTGTCTGTCTGTCTGTGCATCACATGCATGCAAGTCTCCCTGAAGGACAACAGACGAGGGTGGTACCTCCCCACGAACTGGAGTTACAGACATCGAGTTGTGAGCTGCTATGTCAGTGCTGGGAGTTAAACTTGGGTCCTCTGGCAGAGCAGCTGGTGCTCTCAACTGCTGAACCATCTTTCCAGCCCCTGGTTTGCGAGCTTTTTTTAAAGAATAAAGTTTATTAACTATAAAAAAGAAAAGTTTAAATATTTTTTGAAAAGCGATAAAGAAAAGGAAAAAATAAAAAATACTTGTGTTAGTGGGCATGTCTGAGTAAACTCTAGGCTCTTGTGTGTCCGAATTAAAGACCACACCAGAGACACATAGAATTAGAAATAGAGCTTAGACAGGGAACACATTCCCAGGAATGAGCGTGGGCTAGTGGGCTAGGGAGGCCCCAAGTCACCCACCATGAGTGTAGAACTCCATGGGACCTCTCCATCACCGCCCCCCCCCGCCGGTTTGTACTTTGGTATGCCACTTTGTACTTTGGGCTTTCCCTGCACCGGCTTTGTTCATCAGATGAAGCCCAAGTAAGGAAGCTTTCCTAGCGGTTCATTCGACCTTGCCAGGGCATGCTCAGTTTGTTGTTTGATGCTCAAGTGGAGAAGGGTCCTGGAGTTTCCAGTCTCTAGTTTTCTGCCATTGGAGCCCTTGGGACCAATGCGAGAAGGTTAAGCCCCTGCTGGGTAGGACACAGCTGGCAGGGTCGGATTGGGGAAGTGACTACTAACTGGCCAGGGCTTGGAGGCAGGACAGGCCCAGAACCCATCAGAGAGATGTGTTGGATTGGCTGCAGGGGAGGGATAATCTTGGGACCAGCTGTCTGAATCTGACAAGGCGAGGCTCGTGGTCACCTGGTACCTCTCTTCAAAGCCTGGGGTAGACCTCTGAAAGGAGCATGTACACCCTCCTCCTCCTCTCCTCCCACTAGTTGGCCTTTCCTGCCCTCTTTCCTGCTCCCCTCCCTTCCTGACTTTTCCTGCCTCTAAGCTTCAGGAAATTGAAACTTAGATCTGGGGCACCACTTTTTCCCTCTCCAGAAAGTGAAACTTGGCCCTTGGCACTTGTCTCTCCCTCAGTTCTCCCTGCTCTTACCAGCTGTGGGCATCAGGAAATTGGTCATCCTAGCCTTCATTTTTCCTAATGTCATCCTTAGAACCCTCTGATCACCCTTCTCCTGGGAGGAATCGGACCAGACCAGCCACTGTCCCATGCTTCAGCCTTGAGAGGATGCGACCCTGCAGACTAGAGCAGAGGGTGGCTTAGGAGTCCCAGACCACAAGTGACCTCAACGCTTGAGTCTTGTGGCACCTCCCCTACCTAACAAGAGGAAGCAAAGTCAAGATGAGGAACCCAGAGCTTGTTAGGCGGTCCTGTTACTGCCTGGTGCCGTTCTGGCTCCCACATCCTAGAAGTCTAACCCGGGGTCCTCCCCACTAATTCTTAGACCTGCTAGGGTCACGGGTCAATGTCTCTAGGAATCTTTCCTAGATCTGTCGGCACCCAAGATTCCTGCAGAAGACTTGGCTTCCACATTTCTCTATTGCCTTTCAATAGTCCTGTGACAAGCACCCCTCTGTCCCGAGTCTCAGAGGCCCCACAGTTGCTTTCCTGGCAAGCTTTCCTCAGAGTTTTTCCTTTCTCACTATGAGCCTGGGCAGACCCACTTGGGATGAGACTAACTCCTTCCTATGACACCTTCAGGGTATATAGGTCATGGGAATCCTGGTCTGGCAAAGCCACTGCCTTCGTAGACTTCAGAAGTCCACCCTGACCCCTGTGAAGTCCCTATGCTCGACCCCACACCCTGGGCAGTACCCCTAGGACACTGATATAGCCATAGCCAGGAACTGTGTGGATCATATCCCAATGTAGCATCACCCGCCAGCCCAGAGACTTGGGGAAATCTGAGAAATAGGCACCTCCTTAGGAGCCTAGACACAAGAAAAGTTGCTTCAAGGTCTGTCTCCATTAGTCCCTTGTCCCCCCAATAGCCACAGCAGTGAACCCCATTAAGCCAGGTGTAGTGGCAACTGCCTGTAACCTCTCTACGTAGAATTTAAGTGAGATCCTGCTTTAGAAGCAAAAAAGTCTTAGTGCTGGGTGTGATGGTACACGCCTTTAATCCCCACACTTGGGAGGCAGAGGCAGGCTTACTTCAAGTCTGAGGGCAGGGAATCTAATATAGTAAGACCCTGCCTTAACATACCAAAAAAAAAAAAAAAAATGGTGTGTGTGTGGGAGCACACCAAATCAGGAGGAAAAACAAAACAAAAACCGATATCATTAGCCTGGTCACACCTCTGTGGCTTCACAAATCACTGTGGTTTGTGAAGGACTTGTACACAGCAGGCCTCTGAAGTCCCTGGATGAATAGTGTGTAACCAGTCTGGTGGGTAACTTTATGGGTAGCTGGACTTAGGCAGCCTGTGACATCATATTTTCCGTCTCTCTCCCTTATCCCTCTTCCTCGCCCTTCCTTTCTCCATCCCACTAAATGGGCCTGGATTCCTGGAATTCGCTATGTACACCAGGCTGGCCTCACAGATAGCTGCTTCTGCCTCGCTAGCATTAAAGGAATGTATCACCACACCAGGCTGGTCTTTCAGAATCTCTTATGCAGGGCTGTGGGCTTGTGGGATCTTCAGGTCCCTCCAGACTGGAGGGGAAAGGAGACCCTGCAAGGTGGAAGCGGGGTAAGGACATCCAGGACACAGCAGGAATGGGTGGGAACTCTTTATTTGAGGCACTAGAATAGCAGCAGGAAGCCAGTGTGGGCAGAGAGGGCAGACAGGGACTCAACTGGGTCTGGGGTGGGAGCCTTCATTGGGAGTGACAGTCCTCCACGGGCTGCCTCCTGAAATGGGTACAACTTGGGTACCATAATGCCAGGGGAAGGAGTTTTGGTGGAGACAGAGGCCTTCCGCTCTAGAATCTTCCAGGTCCCCTTTGCCCATCCCAGACTCCAAGTGACTTCGTTCACACACAGACACACTGAGCACACAGGTGTACACTCATTTGGTTACACATCCTTGTCAGTGTGTCCACAGGATTCAAGCCTGACTCTGAGACTCCAAGGAAGATTTTCACCCCTTTCCTGGTTCCCCAAGGGAGGTCACAGGATTGGCTCTGGACACAAGGGTAGCTAGTCCCATTTCAACAGAGCAGATGTGGGTCCATTTGGTGCTTAGCCCTGATGCCGAGAGAGTGTAGAGGGGGATCAGACACACCCAGGAGGAGCTGAAGGCTCCTAGAGTCCCCTGGGATCTAAAAGGGGCTGCTTTTCTTCCTGAGCTGGGGGGAATATGGGGAACACACGGGGATGGTCAGGGTTCCAGGTGCAGCAGAGCCAGCAAGCTGAGCAGGAGCCCGAGGCCCAGCATGGGGATGCTGGCGCGAAGACCAAGGCCAGCTGTGCTGATGTTACAGAAGGAGCTTTGGCAGCAGTAGCTATTCACGGATGCCACACCTAAGTTGACATTGATGTTTTCACGAGGGCAAATTTCGGAGCAGCCCTTGTTCAGGGTGTAGCCAAGGTTGACATTCCCTATATGGAAAGTGAGATTAGGGGACAGACGTACAGACACCAGGAAATGGAGAAAGCGCTGTGGATCCCTGGTCCGGGCCAGGGAGATGATGGTTAGGATACAGGCCAGGGAGATGGGTAGGATGGTACTCACCAAAGCCGGCGGCAGCAGATATTGTGACACAGTAATTGTCAGAGCTCGGGCATACAGTTGGCCATAGGCATTTCAAATTGCTCTTCTGATCGGTGCAGGAGAAGCACATTAGGGAATGGGCTGCAAAAAGGGACATGCTGTGGGTGATGGCTGCCTGCGCCCTGGGGAAGCTTGCGGGGCTCGACACCCAACCCTTTGCTGGCAACGAGCAACTACAATGTGCCCAGTCCCGGATCAGAGAGAGATGACAAGTGACCTTAGACTGTGGTCTAGAGGGGCTAAAGTGTCTCCTTAAACACAAGGTGACCACAGTGTAGCTGGACTAGCAATGAGGCAGCGGAACTCTGCTAGGGAGTAGAGGCAGGAAGGCCAGAAGTTCACAGGAGAGCTGGCTCAGGGTAAACGAGAATGAAGGTCAGGAGGGAAGGAAGGCCAGGCTGCACCTGGGGTCTCAGGGCTCCATACCTTGCTCCACACCCAAAAGGGCTGCCAGCAGTACAGGCAAGAAGACCCTCATGCTGGAAGCGGCAGACACCTGCTGAGGGCTCCAAAGAGGCCTGCTAATGAGAGAGAGAGAAGCAGTTGGTTAAGGGACAGGCTACCCACTCTCAACCCAGGATCCCACACCTCCCCAGTGAGCCACGTGTGTCCTCTTGGTAGATCAGGATTCGGGCCCCAGGTAGGGCAGGAAAGCAGTATGAACCCCTTGCTGCCCTGAGGCTAGCCATTGAGACCACCTGAGTTACTGCCCAATTCCTTATCCGGTGGCTTCCTTCCTAGCCCCTGCACCAATCAGAGAGTGGTTTGCACTGCCTAAAGCCAGCCATGTGCCACAGTCACACTTACATAAGCCATATGTTATCTGGAGCCCCTCCTCCTTTTGAAACCTGTAGCAGCCAGAATTTTTTTTTCCTTTGCCCCATGGGCTGCTAATCAAATCTCTACCTCAGTACAACTGGCCCCCTCCTGCTGCTATTGCGGCCAATTACTGAAAGAGCTTTTATCTGACATCCCTTTTGGCAAGTGCAGAATCTTTCTCCAAATTCATCTAATGGTACCTTCCAGTTAACATCCTTTCCCCAAACTTGGGGGCACCCAAGGCCAAGTAGGGGGAACCAAGAACTCCCAGGATGCCACAGAAGTGGGGGGCTTAGGGAGTGGACCTGAGGTCAGGGCAGTGCAGAACACTCCTGGAGGGGGCTGGAAGCCTCTGGGCTTCTCCATTCCCTCCCGTTACCCACACTACGTGTGTGTGTGTGTGTGGGGGGGGGCTCAGGACCCATTTCCAGAAGAAGCCAACTCCATTCCTCCACCTGGGTCTGAGAAGGGCTGCCTGTATCTGTCAGCACACTAGGCAGGCAGGTGGGCCATGGACTTTTTTGGGCACCTGGGCAGGAGTCTGTGGCACAGGGTAGACAAAGCTGGAGAAAGGACCAGCTTGCTGGGTTTCACTGTCCTATTTTTGAGAACCACTGGCCTCCTGCGGAAGGAGTACACTGGTACCATCTGTTGAGTGGGAGGGGCACTCCAGAGACCGAGAGGAAAAGGGGTGGCTTACAGATTTGGGGAGGTCCTCTAAGACAGAGAAAGGGGGTGCCGTAGGAAACGAAGTTGTAATGTCTTCCAGGACCAGCCCTAGGCCTCTCCTGTCTTGAGCCTTGCTAACTAACATCATGTAGTGGGTAGCAAAAACCCCAGATGGTCAAGTTCAGTGCCAAGCCCAGCTGGGCCTGTTCTCAAATTCCAGGCAGTACACACAGGGAGAATAGAAGCCTCCTGTTTTTTTCTAAACACAGTGAGGTTTTGGAACGAAGGAACCCTGAGCTGTCTGCATGCCACAAACAGGTCGAGGAGGACTCACTGCGTGACCAGAAGGGCTGAGGGGAGGTACCAGGGGAGTGGTTGGGAACCAGTCCAGTGCGATGAGTCTGTGACCAGTCTGTCCACAGCTACCATCTGCAGGCCACTGGGCAGTGCCGCTTGGGGCCCAGGAACTCCTCCTCAAACTCACAGGGCTCACCTGTGAAAGCCAGGTGTCTAGAGGCAGGCGGGCGGCCGGGGAAAGAGCCTGTTTTAGTCAACGGAGCTAGCCAGGGAAAGGGCACAGCCGCGGGAACCTCAGCATTGGTATGCAAAATCCTGGTCAAAGACAAAGAACTCCCGCTCCACATTCTGGGGAGGGTCCTGCCTCTGGGCAACCAATCCACCTAGTCAGAGGGCTCCACAACTCCTGCTCTAGTTGACAAGGGTGTATCCCTGGAGATCCCAAGCAGACAAATCAGCATTGGTGGAGTTGAGAAAGAGACACCCAGTGAGGGCTCAGCAGGGGCCTTTGCCCTTTTCTTCTCCAGAGCTCCAGAAACATTCCCGGAGGACTGGGGAGGGGGAGGGAGGGGGATGGAAGGAATGGAGCACGCTGCAGGGGGCCTCGCAGGCTCCTACCACTCCGCACCGGGGTACCGAGTGCCCAGACCCCAGATGCTGCGGCCAAGGCCGCCAGCTCTCTCCCAGCGCATCCGCGCCAAGGCCCGGTCCTCGCGTGACGCGTGAACATCTGAGGCCGGGCCCAGTGGACTCACCTCCGGGCGAAGCAACCCCGAAGAGCTCCAGAAACCTCAGGTCCTGGAGATTGCCACAGTCTGGAGATTCCCAGGCGGCGGAGCCGGGCTCGGATGGCGGGGGCGGGCGGCGGGCGGGGCGCTCCACGGGCTGTGGGCGGGTCTCTACTGGATGGGGAGGACAACCCCGTTCATCCGACTCAGGGTCCTGCGGCTGCGGTCTAGCAGCACAGCCCCTCCTCTGAAGTTCGGATTCGAGTCCCGACCCATGCGCCCACGGCTGCGGTCCCCAGACACCGGTGGCACCCAGAAGTCTTCCCTAAATGCTCACACAATGGGGCGACTGAGCACTGGCGTGGCCCGCCGCTTTCCACTTGGCCTGCGGTGCAGCCTGTCCGCCTTCTCTTGCAGGACAGACCCGGGGAGGGTGGAAGGGCTAGGTCTTTGCGACAATTATTGATGCTAGGATCTGTGCGCAGGCTCTGCTTGCTTCCGGAAGGAGAGGACAGACTGCATCCCGAAGCCCTAGGCGCTCATGGGAATCTCCGCTGCCGCGGGGGGCTGAGGAAGTGCTGGACCGAGGATGTGGCATCTCCCGCCCTGCTGGTTATCAGGTTCCTCCGGGCTGAGCCCACCCCTCTCTTGGGGTGAGGCGACAAGATATGATTTCGGGGAAAGAGGCCATTGCGGCACTAGTTTGGACAGATCTAGTTCTCAATTCCCCTTCCTCTGGGAGCAGGGCCACCTCTTACACTCCACTAGGTGGGTGTGAAACAGAGGCTCCAGAACCCAGTCAGCCTGTCTTGACTGTCATCTAAAGTGCTGAAGCTCCAGTTTTTAGAAAAAATCCCTAACCCTTCTGTTTTTACCTAAGAATCTTTTAATATTTTATTCCTAGTACTCAGGAAGTATTTCATACCCAACAAATAGTAAAGATCACTTGCTGAGCGTGAGCCCTGTAGTAGGACTCTGGGGCCCTTGTCCTGCTTCTGGGTGATACTTCTGGGGGCGGGGCAGGGCACAAGGAGTGGGCTTAGTTTGCTTCGCTGGACTGCTTGTCTCCTCCCCTGCCCTCCTCCCCTTCCTCCTGCAGAACTCTTCCCAGGAGCTTGTGGGTTGCTGAGTCTCTGCCACCTGCTTTCCTGAGAGTCGCACTTCCATTTTTGACCACACATGTGGAAATAGGGGTTTTGCACCTGATCTTCCCTCACCGTCTAAGGAGCTGACGGTGGTGGCAATGGCTGCCCTAGGAAGGAGCTTCACAGGACTGGGGGTGGGGCAGAGGAGGGGTGGGAGGAGATGGAAAAAGTTGTGAAACTGGATGGTTGGTTGGCCAGGGTGGGGCTGAGGCCAAGAGGCCTAGGAGGCCAGCTTGGGGCGGGGGGCTTAGGAACTTATGATGTCCCCTCACAGAATGTCCAATGTGTCATTCTGTGGAGGTGGGGGCCACATGCTCCGAGTGCTCATTTCTCAGGAGTTGAAGGTTAGACTCGGAGTGTGTCCTCAGATGTCCAGGCTACAGCATAGTGACATTTAGTGGTTTGGGGAGTCCACAGTCTGGGGTGATATACTTGCTGTCCTTAGGATGGAAACCCTCCTGAGTCCTTGGCTTTCTGTCCCCTCCCGGGTCTCACCTGGGGGCAGGACAGGTCTGAGTAGCCAAGGATGGAGGTGTATTCCTCATTTTAGAACAGCTTTCTCACTCTTCCTCAGTGATCTGAATGCCTACCAGATGGTCACTATTGAGGGACTGAGGGCAGAGAATGTCATCCCCTGGCTAACACCACACGCAGCTCATGGCTGGGTCTCAGTATTAAAGGAGTCACGGTTCATCAGCGCAGGCCCCTCCTCTGGACCTGGAAGACAAGTGGCATTTTGAGGGGTCTTCATGGTTATGGGTGTCCAGCTCACAAGTGTCCTAATGGTTCAGCCATTAGGCCTAGACGCCTCTGAAGCACTGTCTAGAGGATCCTCGCTGTGCAGTGTGGGTCGCAGGAGTCTGGCTGGCTCCCTAAATGCTGTGCAGGTAGGAAGAGACTGTGTGTGCACCATAAACTGATAGGAGCTATGACAGGCTCTGGGGTCCATGTCCCCAAGGAGGACAGTGATCTCGGCGATGATGCCAGGAGTTTCTACACCAGGCTGACCTCACGTGCTGAACTTCATTTGGTTTCTCCCTTTATCCAGTCGGTCCACTGGTGACAGACAGCACGTGAATGGGCCAGGTGATGTCTGTCCCTTCACAAATGTGATCCCATTCCACCGGTGGCTCAGCTCTTCCTGTCTACTCATTCACCCGAAGGCAGTCCGGAGTCACATGGGAGAGCCTCTCCGCTGTCACGCTGGCCTCTGTAACACCCAAACCGTGGATTTTACTTGCCTAACCAAGGTCTTCTGTTTGACTTTATCTCCTGTGTCCTCAGTTCAGACCTCACAGACCTTGTGACTAGGACATTCAGATTCCTAGTGAGCTTGAACAGCTGTCCCCTGCAGAGATCCCATCCCCCCCGCTGTTTTCCTGGATAGAAGGCTCCAGTCACCACCCTTCAGGGGCAGTTGGGAAGCAGTCCTGAGCCCATCCACCATGCTGGTGTCTGTCTCCCTGGGCCTGAAACGTTTGCCTTTCTAGAGCAATGGTCACAAGAAACTATTCTTTTTAAACAGGGTCTGATGTAGCCCAGAGCGGTCTTGAACTCACCGAGTATCTGAGAATGAATTTCTAATCCTTCTGCCTGTGCTTCTGAGTAAGAATTACTGGGGTGTGTGTGTGTGTGTGGTGATATTTTGTTTCTATTTAACAAAAGCTTGCCTGAGGATCGGAGTGCTGAGGTAGCCACACCAGCTAGCCATAGAGGCCAGGCAGTGGCACACAATTTTAAGACAAGAGGCAGATGGATCTCTGTTAGTTCAAGGCCACCCTGGGCTACATGAAATTGATCTAGTCTAAAAGATAAACAGGGCTCACACAAAGGTGATCCCAGCAGTTGGGGTCACACACCTTTAATCCCAGCACTAGGGAGGCACATAGGAGTGATATGGCTGGGTGAAGAGAGGAATATAAGGCGGGAGGAGACAGGAGCTCAGTGCAGTCAGTCTGAAGCAGTCAGTTTGAGGACGCAGTCTGAGGACAGGATCACCCTTTGGTCTGAGCCTCGGTAGAGATAAGAACTCTCTAGTGGCTGACTGCTCTGCTTCTCTGGTCCTTCAGCTTTCACACCCTGATAGCTGACTCTGAGGTTTTATTAAGCCCAACTGGAATTCGTGCTACAGATGTGTACTGCTGTGCCAAGTTTATGAGCGCTGGGGACCAAACCTAGGGCCTCGTGCGTGCTAGACAGTGGCTCTACTAACTAAGCCACATCTCCAGTCTCAATTATGTTAATCTTTCTGGTTCCTCAGCATGGACTGACAATGGCCATTTACAGAGTGATTTAGGCTTATGCCAATGGCATTGTCTTGGGCTGGAGTTCTCTGGCCATTGAGCCTGTCCCACTCTGGTGATTCCCTTTCTGTCCTCTCTCCGGGTATAGAAACATTCACCCACTTCAGCAGTCCCTGGGGACTTTCAGGGACAGGGGCACTATGTCTTCAGCTCAAGTGGACAGGATGATCTGTCTGAGGACAAGGAATTCCTTGGAACATTGTGCTCTCACCCTCCACCGTGCAGGACAACAGTCCTTCTGTCTTGGCAGCTCCCACTGGGGTGTGTGCTGGTTTGAATAAGAAGCCCCCCATACGCTTATGTATTTCAATGCTTAGTTATCAGGGAGTAGCACTACTGGAGGGGAATTAGGGGATGGAACCTTATTGAAGGAAGTGTATCACTGGAGGTGGGGTTGGGCTTTGAGGTGTCGAAAGCCCAAACCAGGCCCAGTGTCACTCTTCCTGCTGCCTGTGGATCTGGATGCAGAACGCTTCGCTGCTTCTCCAGTACCATGTCTGTTTGCATGCCGCTGTGCTCCCCACTGTGCTGATGATGGACTAAACCTTTGAAACTGTAAACCAACCCCAGTTAAATGTTTTCCTTTATAAGAGTTGCCATGATCATGGTGTCTCTTCACAGCAATAAAACATTGACTAAGACAGGATGTAACCTGTACCACTTCTTCCTCTCAAGTCCCTTGACTTTCCTGGATAGAATGTAATCTCATGAGGATGGCTGAAAGTTGGCCGTCCATTCATCTGTAGATCATAGCAGGCTCTGGTGCTAGCCCTGAGGACTTGATTGACTCAGCCTTAGTCAGCCCTGAGCCCGCTTTTCAGTTTGGCCCACCCTGCCTGACAAGGTTAGTGGGGTCAGAAAGTCCCTAGGTTTCTTCCACAATCAGAGGGTGCTGGATTGACTCCTTGCACCTAGAGTGGAGGAACCCCTGTCTACAGTCTGCTAAGCTTGCTTCTGGAGTTTTTATGAGCAGGACTGTATTCCTCTTGCTGGCTGAGCCATATCACTGCACAGACCTCTTCCAGGCAGGTCCCTGTCCCAAGGAAGGCTCAGGTGAAAGAGAGAGCTAGTACCAGTCCCATGCAAAACAGAGCGTTACCCCAGCAGTCAGTGGTCCTCCCTCCTGCAGCTCTCCTCGAATCTCCTCTCAGGGGCAGTTGAGTAGGTGGCAGGCAGCTCTGGAGTAGCTCCTCTGGCTCTCAGTCTCTCATCTGCTGTGTCTCCCCACCCTGGATCCCTTCCTCTTTGGCACCCCTTGGCAGCAGTTAAGTCCCTCCTGGAACTGTTCTGGCCATTTTTATCTGACTTAGTTCCCCCTAGTCCTAGGGTGCCCATCTGTTCTCAAAGTCAACCAATGAACAAACGAACAAGTGATTGAATGGAGACACCCCACCTTTTGATGTCAGCACAGGGAGAAAGTATATCTTCTGCACAGGTGTCCTGTCCATCCGGTCCCAACTGAGGTATCAAGTATGCAGGCTGAATATACTGTAGGGGACCTCTGCTCACAAGTGGGGAAGATTTTTTATCTTTGGTAGGTGCCCAGGAACGGGAACCCCATAACTGGGGGAGCCTGGGATTGGGGGAAATAAGCTCAAGAGAACAAAATGCATAGATGTGGTAACCTCAGGAGAGTGGGTATATGTAACATCAGGGGGCCTGCTTGTTCGGATTTCTGTCCTGCCCGGCCCCCCAGCTGTTTAGTCCCAAAGTAAAATCACATTGAGATCTCTATAAGTTATAAAGCTGATTGGCTCATTAAGTCTGGCTATTTATTAGCTAACTCTCACATCTTGATTAACTCATTTTTCTGATTCATTCTAGCCATATGGCTCAGTACCTTTTTCAATGGGGCAGGATCACATGCTGCTGCTTTGGTGATCTGGGCAGGAGTGGGAGGAATCAACTTCCTCCTCCCCAGAATTTTCCTGCTCTCCTTGCATCATTTCCATTTCCTGTCTGGTTTTTCCGTCTACACCTCCTGCCTGGCCAATCAGCGTTTATTTAAAACATGATTGACAGAATACAGACAATTCTCCCGCACCAGGTATAAACCTTCATGCTGCCCCAAATCTACCTGCAGAAGATACTGAGGCTTGGAATTGTCATCACATATAAAGCTAGACATTCCCAGTCACTG